GGGCTATGGACCCGCTGATCGCCTATATGTGAAACACCCGGTACCGGGTGTTCGCATTGGACGGGTCTTTTCTGCCCGTGCGTGCCCGCTAGGGGGCGTGCGCGAGCAGAAAAAAATTGCCGTCTGGAGACGGCAACCCGCAGATGCTGCAGTGCCGTCCGTCCGTTTTTTTACTACGGGCGGACGGCAAGAGGTTAAACCAATCCAGGAATAGGTCTTGTATACTCTTCCAGGGCCAAATCAGTGTTTTAAATATCTGCAATAAGGTATTTTCTAGGGCTGCGGGAATTAACAATTAATTTCTTGATTAATCGTTAAACTTTTTGATCAACTAAAATTATTTTGATCGCTAATGAAAACACTCACCTCTCCTCCGGCTTCCGGGAGTCCAGTCGGAGATCCGGTGACGTCACGGACATCGACGTCACTGGACTCCTCCCCCTTCCCCATGTGGCTCCGTCGGCTAACAAAGGGAAGGGGGGAGGAGTCCAGTGACAGCTAATGAAGGGAAGAGTCCGGTGACGTCACCGGACTCCTCCCCCTTCCCTTCGTTAGCCGACGGAGCCACTTGAGCCGGTGAGTTTGCCCAAGAAACTTTCTGCACGAGCGCCAGCCAAGGCATTGGCCTATACACATACAGCACAGCAATGAAGTAATAAAATGAAGTATGATCGCACTAGTCCAGCACGTTATTATTCTGAGTTGCCCCACTCAAGCGGCGGCCATATTGAGTGGGGCACGTGAGATTAATAACGTGCTGGATTAGTGTGATCCTAGTTCATTTTATTACTTCACTGCTGCCTGTATGTGTATAGGCCAATGTAGTTGGATCTGTACGTGCGTTATAATTAATTGATTAAAAAAAATTTCGATTAATCGATCACGAAAATTTTAATCAGTACCAGCCCTAGTATTTTCACATATACAGTATATCAAAGAATATCTAAACCCAATAAGAAAAAGTTTTTTTATTTTATTTTCGCCTGGTAATCCTAACAGTTACAGATTTCCTGTCCTAGGTTGACAACGCTTACCAAACACCTCCTCCTCTCCTCTTTTACTGGGGGAAGGGGGTATGTAGTTTACAGATGGTAGCTGAAAAGGCTGATAATATTGTTTGACATTTCTGTCCAGCTTATACAAAGTTATTTTGTATGTAAAGTTAAATTCACAAAGAACATCACAGGGATTTATCGCTCAATAACATACCTAATGCTGATAATTGTAGGGATGAAGGGTCTCTTTAACTGCTTGCCGTCCGCCCGTTGTAAAAAAAAAAGGACGGACAGCAAGCTCCCATTGGCGGGTCGCCCTAAATAAATGGCTATTTTTTTCAGCGCGCGCATGGTCAGAAAAAAAAATGTCAAATGCAAACAGCCGTTACCGGCTGTTTCACATACAAGCGTTCGGCGGCTCTATAGCCGTCCGATCGCTTGTATGGGCTGCCCTGCGCGCCACGCCCCTGCACCCTCATCTTTAATCCCGGGCTCCACTGCCCCCTCTGCGGCCCGGGTGGGTGTCAGGAGGAAGCTGAGCATCTTCCTCCTTGCTGATCTCCCTCCGACGTTTGAATGCAGAAGTGATGTTTATTACATCACTTCCCCATTCAGCTGTCATTTCTCTGGCTATCATTTCTCTGGCTATTATAGCCAGAGAAGAAGCTGGTGAAGCAGATCTCTGCTTCATCAGCATCTTTGGGGGTCCCCAGGTGACAGAGTTCTGAGAAACCCCTGATGTCTCCACAAAGAGGACCTGTCAGTGTGCTTATGCTATCACATGGGGGGGGGGATTGTTAGCCCCCTGTGTGATAGCAATAACATGAAGTGTATAAAAAAAATGTAAAAAAACAACAAATGTTTTAAGTCCCCCACGTTTAAGCAGATATAAATACGCGTCAGGTGCGCCAGCGCGTGAGAACGACAATTGCGCTACACATGTTACATATCGCCGTGAACATTGCAGTGAGAGCAATCCTTTCAGTGCCCTCAATCACTGATAACACTAAAATGATTAGCGGTAAAAGCGTCGCCTATGGCCAATTTTGGGTGTTGGTAGTTTTTTGAGGTTTTGCAGGCGCGTGCAAATTTAAGGCTTGACATGTTTGGTGTCTATTTACCCGATGTGACCCCGTTTTTTATATTTTACCCAAAAATTGGGTAATAAATGATTTATCATTTAATATAGGGGAAAGTTTTGTTTTTTTAAAGTTTCTGCAATTTTTACTTACTATAGTAAAAAATAAAAACCCCAGTGGTGATTAAATACCACCAAAAGAAAGCTCTATGTGTCCCCAACAAATGGTATAAAATTCATTTCAGTACAGCGTTGCATGACGGAAAAAATGTCAAAGTGCCACAGCACTGAATACTGAAAAGACAGGACAGGAAGGGGGGGTTCAACACCGCGGTCATCAAGTGGTTAAGCAGCCTGTCACCGCAGGACTGTGTCAAATGTCATTGTTCTCTCCTTACTATAATGTCCATGACTACACTAAGTTGTAAGACCTGTATTGTAGGCTGACATGAACCTACTACTGTAAATCAGTGACAATCCCCAACGCTCTGCCCTCCCACGCACACACAAGTCCCAGGTTGTGAAGGAGGAAGTGAGCAGTAAGTTGTCTTCACATCTCCCCGTGCAGTGCTCGAGACAGCACCCTACCAAGCTGGAGCTGTCAATAATCAGCCCTGTGTAGCACGCTGTCTGTGATCCCCCCCGCCATGACACGTTTTGGATGATTCCCGCAGAGATAATGAGCGTTACCGGAATGAACCATAGTGGGGGTTCAGGGGAGCCCCCTATCTCTCCGAGCGGCAGGAAGCGGCTGAGTGTAGGAGAGTTACGGTTGTACTTTGAAGCTCGCTGCTCTGCAGAGCGGGACGGCCACAAGGAGCCGAGACGGAGGAGAAGGATGGGCAGCGGGAGCTGGCACCGGAGCAACGGGGAAGTTACTGAAGAGCTGAGAAGAGGGAGCTGGCAGAGCCACGTTATACCCCAGCTGATGGTGACCAGCTCCGAGGAGCCGCCCCCAAGCCCGGTGCTGATGGATCTACCTGCATGGGACGGCAGGAGGACCGAGGGTTTGCTGAAACTGGCCGACCGGAGGCTGTCTGTGTCCAGCACGTCCCTGTCCTCCACTGGGTCATCTTCTGCCCTGGAGGACTCCGAGGATGACCTGCTCAGCGATTCTGAGAGCAAGAGCCAGGGCAACGTGGACCTGGAGCACAGCGAGGAGCAGAACTTGGTGAGTGGCTGCTTATATCGGGGGAAGTACGTGCTGCAAAAGTGTCAGTGTGCCCTGCAAACCACTCTACATGATGCTGAGACACATATCAGGGGCACTGACAGGAATAATAATGACCTAGTGCTACCTGGCCACTATCAGCTTCTGACAACACATACTGTGGCTGTGGTTTGACAGGTGCCCTTAAAAGCATATCTGCAGGAAAAAAAATCCCTTTGCAGTGGGACTACTCCCACTCAATGGTTATCTGCATGTTAATGCATAGGGTAGCTTTGTAAAGGACTTACCTGATCCACGCAGGGTCCAAGACTGGTGCTCACAGCCTCTTTTCCCCCCTCCGCGGTCGGAAGCCCAGTGACATCATCATTTATAATGGGGGGCTGTTGGGACCCGAAGGGTCAACAAGCTAAATGTAGGGGGGAAAAGGAGAGGGGTGATCGTTGGGGGAGTGGAGATAAGGTAAGTAAAAGTCCTTTACAGAACTCCCCTAGACAGTTACTTGCAGTGTGGAGGAAGCCCCACTGCAAGGGGTGTTTGTTTTTTTTTCCTTTGAAGATAGGCTTTAGGTTCTCTTTGAAATAAAAAGAAGATTTGGCACCTTGATCCCAGCTTGCCCTGCCAACAACTCTCCATGCTGCCGAGCAAAGGTGGCCAGGTGGTGTTGTCTGCGCATGCTTTGGTGTCATTGACTCTGTATCACCTAGGCTGATTGCTGCTGAATTCCCTCAGTTCTCTCTAAGAGCTAAAATTATCTTTAAATTGGGAAACCTGCAGCAGGGTGTCAGTGGGCACTGCAAACACCTCTACATGAACCTGAGACACAGGTATCAGTGTGGGCATTGCCAGGGATGTTTAGGACACTGTGCCACCTAGGACGGCTGCTGTTATCCAGGATCTGTCCAACCACAGACATTTTCTCTACACTTGGAAACCTGCAGTTTTCCAGTCTTTTCAAGATCAACAGTGTCAGCCTGACGAGACTTTGTCTTGTTAGTGCTGAAAAGCCACAGTTACTGCTGCCTAGGCACTGCCAGCTCCTAACAATGCATGTTATATGAGATATGAAGGCTGGCTGTGGTTTGTCAGCAAATAGGTCCTTCTTGGAACACTGAGTAGATGGGGCAGTGTATGGCTCCAAAGCAATTGTGGCAACTAGGTGCCAGCTTACCCTACAAACTACCCTTCATGTTGCTGAGGCACAGGTTAACAGGTTGGGACTCTACAGCAGATGTGGAACTGTCAGCCTGGCCAGACTCTTATAAATACTGGAAAGCCACAAGTTGTGTTTGAGTTCTGCCAGGTCAATGCCAATACATATTGTATCCCATATGATATACTGGTTGTGGTTTGACAGGTCCCCTGAGGACTCCTGGGAACACTCTCTGGATTAGGCAGAGCCTCCGGCTCTACAGCGATTGTAGCACTACGTCCCAGCCTGCCATGCTAACCACTATTTTGCTGAGCCACTGGTTTTCAGGGGGTGCTGTGTGGGTACGACTAGTGGAATAGGTGACCTTGTGCCATTTGAGTTGGCTGCCCTGGATCCCTCCAGGGACAGAAATTATCTCTAAATTGAGAAACCAGCAACATACAAACATTTGTGCAATAAAGTATCAGCCTGCAAAGACTTTGTCTTGGAAATGCAGAATAGCTGAAAACCACCGGTTGTCTATGAGTGCTGCCTTGGCAATGCCACCTTCTGTCATTACTTGCTGTATATATAGTTTTGGTCTGGTAGTTTGATAGGTCAGTGATCGTGTTTTCCTGGCGGGCTGACTGTTGCCTGACAAGTGACCTGAATCCTCCATGGAACTCTCTTTAGACCATGCAATCTGTGTGTCTCAGTCTAACAGGGCTGGTTGTTGTAGTTCCATAATAGCTATAGGGTTGTCTATATAAGTGCCACCTGGGTTCTACAACCTGTTGACTATAACAGGGATGCACCGAAAATTTCGGCCACCGAAACATCGGTGCGCTGCATGCCTAGTTTTTCTCCTCCCCACTGTGTGCTGCTCTGTGTTCCCTCTGACACAGCGCAGCGTCCATCATGGAGGAGAGACACTGTCAGGAGGCCGAGCGGGGCAGGGAGGAGAACGATGTGAGCATGTCACAGGCTCTCCTCCCGCACCGCCCTGGCGCCCCGCTTAGCCTCCTGTAACAGATCAGGAGAGTGGTGTGTGTTTGGAGACATCAGTCAGCTGTCACAGGAGGCTGAGCCAGCAATGAGGGGGATGAGTCAACTGTCAAATGAGACTGAGCTCTCCTCCCTGCACCGCCCACTTAGCCTCCTGTGATTGCTGAATGTTTGCAAATAATTGGACATAGTATGAGTTATGTACAGTATCTCACAGACATGAGTACACCCCTCACATTTTTGTAAATATGTTATTATATCATTTCATGTGACGACACAGAAGAAATTACACTTTGCTACAATGTAAAGTAGTGAGTGTACAGCTTGTATTTCAGTGTACATTTGCTGTCCCCTCAAAATACCTCAACACACAGCCATTAATGTCTAAACCACTGGCAACAAAAGTGAGTACACCCCTAAGTGAAAATGTCCAAATTGGGCCCAAAGTGTCAATATTTTGTGTGGCCACCATTTATTTTCCAGCACTGCCTTAACCCTCTTGGGCATAGAGTTCACCAGAGCTTCACAGGTTGCCACTGAAGTCCTCTTCCACTCCTCCATGACGACATCACGGAGCTGGTGGATGTTCGAGACCTTGCGCTCCTTCACCTTCCGTTTGAGGATGCCCCACAGATGATCAATAGGGTTTAGGTCTGGAGACATGCTTGGCCAGTCCATCACCCCTACCCTCAGCTTCTTTAGCAGGGCAGTGGTCGTCTTGGAGGTGTGTTTGGAGTCGTTATCATGTTGGAATACTGCCCTGCGGCCCAGTTTCTTAATGGGAGGGGATCAAGCTCTGCTTCAGTATGTCACTGTACATGTTGGCATTCATGGTTCCCTCAATGAACTATAGCTCCCCAGTGCCGGCAGCACTCATGCAGCCCCAGACCATGACACTCCCACCACCATGATTGACCGTAGGCAAGACACACTTGTCTTTGTATTCCTCAGCTGGTTGCCGCCACACACGCTTGACACCATCTGAACCAAATCCGTTTATCTTGGTCTCATCAGACCACAGGACATGATTCCAGTAATCCTTGTCCTTGGTCTGCTTGTCTTCAGCAAACTGTTTGCGGGCTTTCTTGGGCATCATCTTTAGAAGAGGCTTCCTTCTGGGACGCCATGCAGACCAATTTGATGCAGTGTTCGGCGTATGGTCTAAGCACTGACAGGCTGACCACCCACCCCTTCAATCTCTGCAGCAATGCTGGCAGCACTCATACGTCTATTTCCCAAAGACAACCTCTGGATATGATGCTGAGCTCGTGCACCCAACTTCTTTGGTCGACCATGGCAAGGCCTGTTCTGAGTGGAACCTGTCCTGTTAAAGCGCTGTATAGTCTTGGCCACCGTGCTGCAGCTCAGTTTCAGGGTCTTGGCAATCTTCTTATAGCCTAGGTCATCTTTATGTAGAGCAACAATTCTTTGTTCAGATCCTCAGAGAGTTCTTTGCCATGAGGTGCCATGTTGAACTTCCAGTGACCAGTATGAGAGAGTGAGAGCGATAACACCAAATTTAACACACCTGCCCCCCTAACGAGTCACATGACACCGGAGAAGGAAAATGACTAATTGGGCCCAATTTGGACATTTTCACTTAGGGGACCTGCCAAAATTCCACTCCTCCTGAGAACATGGTCAAGGATAAACATGCACTGTATCTTGCCTTCTCACAGTATTGTCCTGTAATAAAATCTATTCACCATACTCTGACTTGGAAAAGAACAGCATGTGGCCCTACATGTTTTAGTCTACCTTGACAACCAAAAAACACACTGACATTTTGTGACTTGCTGCTGAGTTTACTGGCTAACTGCATATGACTTTTGCCAAATGGCTACTTCCTGTCTAACAGATGCTCCGCATCCCTTATTGGAACATGGAATTTGGGTAGACTAAAGTCTCTCTTCAGCTATTGTGGATGCAGTACATGCTGGGGCTGGTAGTTGCACAACAGCTAGCGAACCAAGGTTTGTCCATAAAGAAATATTTTTGTTAGGCATTTTTTATTTGTAGGAAAATAAAAATATATTGATGTTTGATATACAAACCAGCGCTGGAGAAATCCCAGGAGCCAGGTAGCCAATGTTCCATAAAAATTACAGCTGGTGCTTAATATTAGGGTTTTTCTTTAGTTGTTGTCAATGGAGTTAAAAAATCCTGCTGGCTACTGGATTGGATAGACTGGCGCCTGAATTCCATATTCCTTTGTCTACCCCTGATATAAACCATTGTAGCCCCCCATCACATTCTGTGATGTGGCTATTAGACCAGGGGTGTGGAATTCCTATCGCCTGGGACAGGCAGTTTCGGGCGAGTAGTTTTTTTCTACGTTTAGCCCGGCTGCGGGCAAGCAGCACTGCTAAATGTAGTGTGGGAGCCGTTTTGTACGAGTGATTTTAAACGGCTGTGCAGCCGTCCAAAAATCACTGGTAACCTGCCTGAATCATGCTTCTCCTCTCCTCCCCTCTCTCTATCTCCAGCGGCCGGCCGGACGTGTACTGCTCCCGGCTGCCTGTCTCTCTGCACCTGGGCTTCCTTTTTGCCGTAGTCTTCGGGGTCCCCCCCTCTCGTGGGGGATTGATGACCATGGCAAATTAGGTTCCAGAGCATGGAGCAAGGCAGAGAATGGTTATCTACTCTGCTCCATATGTGCAGTGATACAGGAATGCAGCCTTCCTGTCACAGGAGAAATAGCACAGAGCTGTGCTAGAACTCCTGTGTTGGAGGTGACAGGGTCAATAAAGAGAACCTGTCACCTCCAAAAGCTATCACACAAGGGCTTGCTTGTTACTTTTGTGTGATAGCAATAAAGTCAAGTAAAAAATAAAATATATAACACTTAAAAATGTAAACATAAAAT